TCTTCCAAGTGAGCCAGAAATAGTTGGGTCCCTCCAGCTCTAACTGAGCAGTTCTCTTAAGTGGGCGGCTCTTTCCTCTGGCCTCATTTGTCCATCCATGTGCACACTTGGGTACACAAGCAGACCCTGTGCACACACACATGCTGTACTCCTGGGCCTGCACCACTTGGTGCACGCAGGCATATGTGTGTATCTACCTTCCTAGCTGCACGCATATAGGCACCCAGGTTCCGGGGTTTTAGGGTATCCAATAAATAAAAGGCGTTTTTTTCCTCCTAGATGTGCTCAGAATCATCTGAGATGTAGATGTAGGTGTCAAGTGGAGATAAAAATGTCAATTTTGCGACTGATTGGAGGATGTCACTTCGATGGACAGAGAGTGGGCTTGCAACCCTTCGCCTTAGAATTAAACTTCATCTTAGAATTAAAAAGCACAGGAAAAGCTAGAAATCTCCCAACCAGCCCAGGAGGGAGCGCTTGCTTGCTTCCTGTGGGCAGGAAGAGACAGGGCCTGAGGTGAGCCTGCCTGGGTCTGCCTTCCAAACACTCCAGTCAGATAGCTGAAGATGCAAGAGGACTGCTGGGAGAGGCTACAAGTGTGAAGCCAGTGATAGCCCACCATGTGGGGCACACACGTGTGCAGAGACATTCTGCCACCAGGCGGTGGATGCGTGGAGAGTCAGGTATCTAGAGCCAGGCAGGCAGAACGCTGGGGAGAAGGAGAAATGAAAGTGAGGGCACGGGACCCAGGGAGCTGGGGTCTGCAGCAGAGCTGTCACCTGCATGGGGGGTTGAGTCTGGAGCCAGGAGTGCAGCAGACAGGTGATGAATAAATCAAATACTTGATTGGGGAGGAAAAATGGGAAGATGCTGAGAAGAGCATAAAGCTGCCATACAAAGTGTATTTAAGGAATATTGAATTTCTTTATTTACCTCAGGTTTCAAGACAGAATTTGCAGTGGCCAAGATCTGCATGTTAATAGGCATTAGAATGTATAATTGGAGAGGGTGGGATTGCAGGTTTATGAGCTGTTGCAAAATAACATCAGGCTCGATTTCTGTGTATGAAAGCGTGAGAGAGAGCACTGCAGAGTTATTAGAGGGGCTCTGACTACCAGTCATAACTGGAGTAGGGCTCAGGGCTCCCAGATTGACCATGGAATGGAACTAGAGCTCACTACCCCCACTCGCCCCAAATGAAGAACATTGACTTGTTCCAGAACAAGCCTTGGGGTTTAAGAACAAGCGCTAGGGTTTACATTTTTTCATGATTTGCCTTGGCATTTTGTTTTTCACTTTGAGGTAGTCCCAAGGATCTGACCCTTTGGGAGAACAGAAGGAAGAATGGATAATTATTATAATAACTAATGTTTATTGAACATTCACTGTGGTGCCTGGTCCACTGTGGTGCCCATGGTGCTGTGGTGAGTGCCTTGAAGTTACCAATTCACTTAATCCTCATAGCAACCCTATCAGGTAAATGTACTTGTAATATCTCTATTTTATAGATGATGAAACAGACTCAGAGAGGCTTAGCAATTTGCCCAAAGGCACACAGCTCGTAGGCAGCAGAGCTGGAATGCAAATCCAGGCAGTCTGGCTCCAGAAGCTACACTCTGAACAACCAGTGGAGCAGAAAAGAGGGTAAAATCAGGCCAGTTTTGGATCTTTCTCATGTGAAAGGAGCAGAACTCCCATCAGGCTAGATCTCAGTTCAAGTCCTGGATTTGGGGTCTGGAATTAGCAGGGCCTACAGAAGAGTGATCTGCCTTCATTTGTCTCCTGCTTGCAGACCACCAGGTCAAATTTTTAGGGAAAGGCAGGGTCATTTTCCATCTGACCACCTCCGAATGTGTGTAGATTACTCCACAGATTTCTGGGTGGCTGCACAAGTACTTTCTGGTCTCTGCTGAAGTAGGGAGGGGCCTGAGGGCCAGAAAGAAGAGGTCTGGGGGAGATGCAGAGTTCCAGCAGACTCAGCACTTGTAGGCAGGCAGGCAGTCATTCAGATGTTTATTGAGCTCCAACTACACGCCCCACACTGCCTGCCTTTTCTTGGTGTGTTACTCTGTGCAGACAGCCACTGCCAGGTTCCTAGGAATTCCATACCTTTGTGGGGTCACTTCAGCCCTGACATAGCTCCTCCTCTGCCTTCCTTGCCTGGTATCTAGCAGCGCAGACGGGAGGCCCCCGCTGATCCATGGGCTGTGTTTGCTCAATAACGCTTGGAAGCACAAGTGACCTCTGTATTACCACCCTTTAGGCAGCGGCGGCCGGAGTGCCTGGAAGCTCCTCGTTCTAGCCCTGCAGAGCCACGGGACCGACCCAAAGCACCAGCCATCAGCTTTGTTCCTCAAGCCCCTGGAGAAAACCTTTGATTTCATGGGGATGATTATTTTTATTCTTGCCCACTCAAGGATGAAGCCCAAGAAACAAGAGGGTGCCCCTTTCAGAGGAATCACAATGGGTCACCTCCAGCCAAACCCACTGTTTTTTGTTTTTTGTTATTTCTGGGTTTGGTTGAGCCTCTCTTGGAAACCATTACTATACAACTTACTTAAAAGAAAGAGTGGAGGGACAGGGCATAAGAGACTCAGACAGAGGCTGGAGTGGTGGGGGTTTGGGACAGGGAGGCTGGAAGTGATGTGTTGTCAGAGAAAGTGCAGGAAGAACACAGTAAAGTCACAATCTGATTTGAATCATTGCCATTTTGTAGTGACATTTTTAATCTTTTTAAAGTCAGACTATTCCAAGTTTGACTTTTGGCCAAGCCTGGAGATTTGGAACTTTGGATGAAAGTTTCAGAAAAAGAGACAACACACACACTCACACTCACACACACACACACACACACACAGAAAGGGGAGGGAGACTTTTATCCTAAGGTCATTGTGAATCCAAAGCAGGGTTTTATCCTCCACAGTTAAATGAGAAAGAAAAAAATCAGGAATACCAACGTTTGAGGTACAAAGACTGTCATGGGCCAGTGGAAGTTTGCAAAATTATATGTAAATGACCAAAGTTTTTACTGTGGTGGCCCTGTGCATTCCCAAAGCTAATCCCAAAGAGAAAATCTACTTAGCAAAAGAAAGTTTTGTCTAATTTGGTTAACAGTTGAGAAGTGACAAAAATGCTGAATATATTAATAATTTATATTTCCAGGGTAACACTATATCTTTAATGCTTCACTGCCAAAGGGAATTCAGATTGGCTTAATGCTCAGAGAAAAAAAGCCTGAAAGGCCTTCTTCATATTCTGTATCCAGCACTGATGAAAATGGGTGTAAGACATGTGTTCCAATAATAGGCACCACGCATTCGCCCGTTTCTGCATAATTCGTTTTCATCCCGTATTGCTCAGTGTTTATTTGCTATCCGGAAGGCCTCCTGGTCTTACACTCACTTTAATGCCCCAACTGTACGGGGTCCTAAGGGAGGAGAGGCTTGTTTGCCTCTCACATTTTATACGTAGGTTTTGCAGTGATGTGTAGTGCACATAAGGACAAGAACTCCTTACATGCAACACCTTTTCTAAAGTATGTGGATTCCCCCTGCCCCCCAAAACACACATTTAAGTTTCACTTTATGGGCAATGTGATGAAGTGTGTGGGTTGTTGCCTGTCTCTGCATAATGAAGTTTGATGGTTTACAAATTGCTGGTCATCCTATTCCATGACCTCAGTAAACAATCTAGGTCAGAGCTCCCTTAAACCCTGTCCACAGAAATGGAATAAGTTAATTTATTTTCCTCCAGTTAATCTGGGAGAAGACAAATCACCATAGTTCAGCTAAATGGCCTCTGGAAACAGAGGAAAACCTGCTACATAATTTCGAATTATTTATTTGAAGGGCCTCAAAGCTAACGGGAGCAAAGAAAAAAATAAGGAAAAAAATTTAAATCCCCACAAACACAACTTTAGCCGATTGGATATCTTGTTCATTTACCTGTTTACGTAAGACAATAGTGAGGCTCATTTGGCTGTTTGGGTCATAGAAAACAGGATTTTAGTTTGCTGTTTTAAAGGAATCGCTGTTTTGTGGGTAAGGCGCAGATCCGACTAGAATTGAAAACCATAATCCCCTAAAGATCACTAGCCAAGTCTCCCCCAGACCCCACTATGTTCCTGACTATGTTCTGGGTGGAGCGAGAAGGTTAAAGTCGCCCCTCGGGGAAAGGGAGAGGCGTTTCTCACCAGGCCAGAGAACCTGATCCGAGAACCGAGCTCTCCACCCCGCGCCAGAGCCGGCTGGTGGGGCTCGGCGGAGGGAACAATCCCCCAGGGAGCCCATCTCCCACCCCGGCCAGGGCCGGCCTCTCACGTGGTTGCCGGGCGCCCCCGAAGCTGAGCGGATTTGTGCGCAAAGGCACAGCCAGCTTCCCTGACCCCTCGGGCGCCGAGTAGATGTCATCCGAAGATAAAATAAAGCTTCGTAGGATGTTTTTAAGCCATAATCAGAACTTACTTCCTCTACATATTTTTTACAGAGACTTAACGAGACCGGAGACCCAGTCACGCGTCCGGCCGGCTCGGGTCTCGCCGCGCGCCAGAGTGACGGGCACGTGGTGCGCGCGCCCCGGGGCCCGCCTCGGGGCAGGCAGGGCGCCTAGGCTCCAGGCTGGCGAAAGTCCGCCCGCGCCAGTTTGGGGTGGGTTCTTCGATTTCATTTTCTGAGAGCCAAAGGCCCTGTTCCTCGCGTCTGCCTTTTTCCGAGGCAAACGCCCAAGATGCGCGCGAGGCGGATGCTGGTCTGGAGCCCCGGGGGAGCCTCTAATCCTGCCCTCAAACGACGCCGCCTTTTAGCCTTTCCCCTCCCCCAGATCCTGGAGCGCCACCTCCCCAAATTACCGAGGGCTGTCACCTTGGCTCCTATCAGCCTCGCGACCTCAGCACCTAGGAAAGGATAGGTTGTGGAGGAGCAAGAGGTAACAAAGAAATGTCTCTTTAATAGAAACGTTTATTGCCAAGGGGATATCCTTCACAAGACTAATTCGCTCTTGGCCTTCTCCCACCCAGGTTTTTGTTGGCACAGTATTTACACCTGTACAATATAGAGTATTTCTCCTAAGCAGCGCGCGAAGCGCAGAGCCATCTGGCGGGCGCGTCGGCGTCAGAGCACCGGGGGGTGCTGGGGCGCGTGCAGGTTGAGGGCGTTGGGGTGGGCGTGGCCGATCAGGTTGAGGTAGTGCCGGTCCAGGCCCTGCACCGGCGCCAGGAAGGGGCTGTGCTGCTGCGCCGGGCTCGGGAGCGGCACGGGCGCGCTGGGCAGGTAGGGAAGCGCCGGGCTGCGGGCCGCGCCGTGCGGCCAGGAGAAGGGCCCGGGAGCCGCGCCCTGCGGGAACACGGAGGCCTCACCGGGGCTGTGGCCCGCAAACTCGGGCGCTGCCGGGTGCAGCTGATAGGAGAAATCCGGCTCCGGGTGCGAACCCAGGGGCTGGAAGGCGGGCTCGGCGCCCAAGCGGGCCTTGGACTGCAAGAAGGCGAGGATGCGCGCGTACTTGGTGTCCTTGGTCTCCATCCGCTCCACAGTGGTGAGGTAATGCACTAGGTTCTTCATGCACTCGTGGTAGCCGTAGTGGAAGTAGTTGGCAAACTCTGCTAGCAGTTCTGCTGGAGGCGGGAGAAAAACCGCAGAAAGGAAAAACCTTGAGTGACCCCTTCCTACTGGGAGACCAAGCGGGTGCCAGGTACCTCCCATCACGTTTTCCGGCCAAAGTTCCCACCTGAGGCGCGCTCTCCCCTCTGCCTAATCTGGAGACTGGAAAAGCCCAAGCAAGCGACCTCCCTTTCCTTAGGGAGGGGTGGGGTCAGGCTCGCCTGACCTGAAAGGAGGCTACGGAACCACTCTCCTCAGAAACCTGTTCTCCAGCCCCCCTTAGCTTTCGGGGGACCCTGGCCGGCCCCCGCTCCAGCAGCGTCCAGAGAGGAGACCTGCCGCAAGCGCCCCTTCACTCCCACTCCCGGTCCCCAGGGCTCTGTGTGGCGCTCGCTCCCTACCCAGGTTCCTCTTTGCCCACCCCGCGCCCACCTTTTTCCCTTCCCCGGGGAAAATCAGCGGAGTGCAGGGCTCTCAGGTACTGGACGGTCATCTCGAGGATCTCCGCCTTCTCCAGCTTCCCGGAACTCTGCAAAAGGAGGAAGGGCGCCTCTAAGCGGCCCAGCGGGCTCAGGCCACCCCCAGGCTGGGTGCACGGTTTTATCTGGAGAGCACCAGCGAGCAGGGCGCTGCTGAGGGTCTGCGCCAGGGCCGCCTGGGGCTCACTCAGCGCTCAGGCCCCCGGGGAGGGAGGCCCACATGTAAGGCCCTCTCCATCCCCAGACTCCCGGCATCTCGCCAGGAGTGGCAGCGGAGAGTCCTCAGCGCCTGGCACACTATTCTGGCCACCGACTTTACCTGCTTCGCCAGGGCCATGGGCACTGTCTTGCCCAGCTCGTTCAAGCAGCGGTTAATCCGGTCCCTTCTGCGCTTTTCTATCACTTTGTGGGAAACGGGCGTTCTCTGCGAACAAAAGTTTGTATGTTTAGGATTGACTTTGCCCAGGGAGTCGTCAAAAGCATGGCTGTACCTGCGTGTCAACTGTCTTCCCAGCTCCCAACGCCCCTCCCCACTTGGGTCAAATGAGCTCAGCCCTCTCACGACCGCGCGGGCGCGCTCCCCTTCCAGCCTCCCTGCCCGCTGAGCCACCCCGCCAAGCTGAGCGCCAGGGCGCTGGGGAGGTGGCCACCAGTCTCCGAGCGTGGGCTTCTCCTGGTCGAGGAGTCTTCTCTATCCTCATTGTCTTCCCAAACCCCTCAGGATTCCTCTGCACGAGAAATCCCGTGTGGCCACGTCCCTGCCGTCGGTCCAGCCAGGTGGCGGCTCAGGGAGCCAGACGCCCCCACCGTCAGGGCGCAAGAACCGTCTGGGCTCAGCCAACTCACTTTGCGTTCCTTGAGCTTGTCTGACATCCTGGTCAGTACGCGCCCACCGGAGAGGCAGTGGCGCGAGGCACCCGTCCACTTTACGGCCCGTGTGCCTCCTCGAGGGTCCCAGGTAGACTGCGGCCTCCCCACTCTGAGAGGCTGCCTTATAAAGCGGTCATCTAGGACTCCAAGTGCATTCACGAGTTGAATTATTCCATAGGATTAGGGGAGCTGCGTTTGGGGGATGTATGCATTCAAGATCACTTTTAAAGAAGTTAAGAAAAAAAATTTAGCAGCCGAGGGGGGCGAGCTGGGGGCAGATCAGCTTTGTTAATCCACGTGGCCCTTCAAAGGACACGTGATCGGCGGGGGACTAACATTTGCATGGCAACAACCGCGGCGGGAAAAGGAGGCGGTAAACTGGGGCCGGCGGGTGTGCGAGCGCCTGCAGCAGCCGCAGGCGCGGAGCGCAGGGGCGCAGCGGCCGCGGGCACCGGGGGGCAAGGACCCTCACAAAACAGCGTCGCCTCCTTTAGTCCCACCGCTGAGTCTCACACGATTGCCTGTTTACAAATCCCAGCAAGCCCACAGTCCCAGCGCCGAGTGCGTTTTAAAGCCTGTCCAGAGTCATTAAAGTAATTAAGTAAGCCTTTAATAGGCTGTTCCGCCGGGTTCAAGGGAGAGCTCTTGGAGACGGAGGCGCCCCGTTTGTTCCCAGGCTTTTCTCACACGACTTGGTGACACGTCCATCTCCCCCCTTTTTGTTTACACCGCTTTATTTGTCCGGACATCCCGGCAGGTGTGGGGCTGCGGCTGGCACACGAGGCTCCCGCCTCGCCTCGCCCCTCCCGCAGCTCTTCGGCACGCGGCGCTCCCCCTTCTCCCTGGCCACGTCGCTTGCTTTCTTTTCTCCCCCCTCGGGCTCGCTCCTCGCGGGGGGAAGAGGCTCAATTTGTAGCCTATTATCCTATACGAAAATGTCCATTGAAAAGTATGAATAGTTTCATTGGGCTAAATTTTAATAATGCCAGAGGGTGGGGGAGGAGAGACAGGCAGGCGTGCGTGCGTGTGTGTGTGTGTGTGTGTGTGTGTGTGTGAGAGTGAGGGGGGTGGTGGGAGGATTGGGGGGCAACACGGAGAAGAGTGGGCCAAGAAGAAAAGGGGGAATGCAGCTGGCCCAGGCGAGCATTATGCGACGTCACCTGCGAGAGGGGGCGCCTACAGACCCCTATTCATTTGCCTAATTTTGGTCAATTTAACAAACTTCAGGAGAAATTATTGTGGCTTTGTCAGGGAGGGTGAAGCCTTCTGATCGAATTAACAGCATGTTTTGATCCGGTAAATGTCATTAGAAAGGGAGAAACAATCGCGCTTAGAGGGCTCTGAGTAATGCGCCCAAGTGGAGACGCCAAAGCGCACGGCTCACAAAGGGAGCAAGTAGCTGCCACAGGGAACTTTTGTACCCGCCCATCGCCCAAGTTTTGACACAAAAAGGCATTATTTCATACTTGAATACGTTTAATCCAACGATTGTCTATTTTCTGCAAACATATTTTCACAGCATTGTTAACTTTTTATGTCCCCCTTTCGCGGGCGCCTTTTCTTAACGTTTGGGGGCGGGAGAGCGCAGACACTTTGGGCATCAATATTTGTCACTGAAAAGGGCTCCGTGAAGTTAGGGAAGTTGATCTCTTTTTTATGGTTTTAGAGAGCGAATATATCGGGGGAGGAGGAGGGAGGGAAGGCACGAACAGGAACGAGGGAGGAAATTTGCTGGACGGGCTCGAGGGGAAGGAGGGGGGCTGCGGCGGCTGGGAACTCTCGCCGCCGCCTGCGCCTCCGCAGGCAGCCTGGACCAGCGGCCAGGGGCCTCCTCCCCCACCGACAGGGCTCGCTCACTTTTGCTGCCTTCGAACCCGCACTCTGGGGGCTCCAGGCTTGCGGGGTGTGTGTGTGGGGGGGGGGGTGAGCTTTCTTGCAGATGGAAACTATAAAAATGGTTTGTGTTTTATGACCTGCTCAAGAGCCTCCGAGCTCTCACCTTTTTCTAATCTGTTCCATCTGACAACAACCGAGGCCTCTCCTTAGGTATCTTTCCCTCCTTTTCTGCTCCCACCTCGCCTAAATACTCTCGACTCGGCTGGACCATGGCAGGACCCGGGCTCTCACTTTGGGTGTCCTTAGTCCTTGGCAGAGATGGCTAGGGTGGAGCCCTGCTCTCTGGTGGGACCTGGGGAGCTCCTAGGGCGCAGAGGGGCGGGTGTGGGCTGGGGGCCTGAGGTGCCGGGCCTTGGGAAAGCCAGCGGTCCACCTGCCACGGCCTGGGAGGTGTGGGACTCGGTCTGCACTACGCACCCCTAGGGTGTCCCTCTCTGTCTTGCTTTCAGTCTCCTCACGACTTCTACTTCACGCCAGATTGGACACGACCCGCACCCTCCCGCAGGTTGCTTTGCCAGCCGCGGGTGCCCTCTCAGGGGTTGTCGATTTCATATATTCACTGGCACACAAAGGGATTAAACACGAACCCTTATCATCCAAATTAACTAACGTGAATGGGTAAAAGGCTGCGCGCACACTTCTCGCCCCCACCCCCTTTTTTAAGCCAGCGGACTAGGAGTTGATCCTCTTACTGCTTGGTGTTAACCGCCAGCTGCAGGCACCTTCCACGGGCCAAATTTCATTCTGTGCAAACGGTTTAATTTCCCCTTTGCTCGCAGAGCTGAGCTCCAGGGCTTGCCCAGGGCTGCAAGTACCCGCGTGTGGTTGGGGGACCCAAGTGAAGGTGGGTGGGTGGGTGGAGATGGGGTGGAGGGGCGCGCATCCTCGCCCTGTCCTCCGGGCGGCTGCAGCCCTCCGTGAACGGCTGGGAACGCCTCTTCCCCTTCAGCTGAGGGAAAGGATGTGTTTCCTTTCTCCCTTCCCGGCCTGAAGGCTGGAATCACACTGCCAGAAAGTGGGGCGCTGGGACCCTCATACCTTCCCTTGAATCCTCCTACCCAGGCAGGTGTTAAAGTGTTCCCTAATCTTGACCTAGTTTCCACCAAAATGAGAGCAGAGTCATGAAGAGCGGTGATCACTGGAGCCAAACAGTGTTCAGCTGCCCACTCCACCACCTACCAGCTGGGTGAGACTGAGGGCTGGTCATTGAATCTGCTGTGCCTCAGTTTCCTCTTCTGTAAAACGGAGATAATTACTGTATCTCCTGAGTCACAAGGTGGCCACTGGAATGAAGTAAGTAAATGCAGGCAAGACACCTAAAAGAAGCCTTACCTACTCAATTAGAGTTTTTATTTGGCTTGGAAATCTCTTCTGCAGTTCTCCTATAGTAGTGTTTTGTGGGGTTTGTGCTGTTGAAGGATATTTTCATTCATTTCACATTTTTTCTCATCCCTAAGAAAACTTCACTCTCCCTGAAAAAGCCACAGTGATTTCACCTGGGGTTTGTTAAATTGACCAAAATTAGGCGAAATGAATGGGAGCCTTTAGACGCCCCCCTCACAGGTGACATCACCTAGTGCTTGCTGGCCAGTTGTGTCTTCCTGATGTGTGTGAAGCTGAATGCAGAAGCTTTGCAACATCATAGTCATTTTGAGTGATCAAACATTAGCATCAAAATCAAAGCCAAGCTAGGAACTAAGAGTACTTAGAAATTAGGCAATGCTAATTAAATATTAGTCTGCTTGACTCCTGCTGTCTAAAGACCTTTGTTAGAGAATACAGCAATCACAAGCAGAATATGTTTATTGTTGTTGTTCATATTGTTGTTTTTACTAATACTTTTTTAGCTACATAGTTTTGACATGTAGCTTCCAAACACTGAAAGATGGATTCTTTTGTGTTTCTTTCTAATTCTAGAAACTAAGGATTTATGGGTCTGGGGAAGGGGAAATGAATGGAAGGAAAAAAAGAACGTAGGGGGTATTCAGAAATTTCAGGCACATTGCTCTAAGACAATGTGTCCTGGTTGATTTCAAGTCCTCCCACCGCCTCCCATCTCCAGGACACAGGGCAGACCTCATAGATTCATTAATAGGCCTGGGGATTTTATCAAGTGAGGAAATGTGAGGAGACTTGTCAGAGAGCGGAGAAAACACAACCGTGGCTGAGCCGTCTATGCTTCTGAGGTACCAGGAAGACAAGGCCTGAAGGGACCCAAACTCCGGGCTCTACCCCGTAGTCAGTAGCATCACAGGATGTGGGATGGCGCAATGATTCCTCGGAAAGGAGCCTAAAGGAGCATCAAGTCCAACATGCCATTTTACATGGAAGAATCTGAGGAGCAACTAAGAGATCTGCAAATGCCCAGTGGCACACAGCAAGCTGCCATCACTGAGTATTTGTGATTTGCTGTGTGACCTCCAGGGCCGGCTGCTTCAGTTTACTCCTCTGTTACTGTGAAGGAGAGTCCAGTCAGGGACACCATGATTTGGGATGGCCAAACCTTCTATAGGAAGCCTGCTGCCTTGGGCTGGTGTGATGGTTCTTAGGGGCATTGCTGCGTCCTCAAGCCTCCTTCCACGTGCTCCTACTTCTCCCAAGTCCAGTGGCAACAGCATGTTGTGAGCACTGATGTGAGCAGAGGCTGGGAATATCAAGGCGAAAGGCACGTGGCCCATGGGCTTGTCTTCTCATAAAGAAGAAGATAGTTGTATTGATGGCCCTGGTACAGTGGCCTCAACAGAGCAGTCACTCTAAAGCCCACTCTAGCAGCTTCTCTGAACTTTTCCTTACTCAGCACCCCTCATTCCTCTGCTCCCTCTGATCACCAATAGTATTCTCAACTCAACAAGGACGGCAACAGGAAGTACGTGGCAGGAGGTGGTGCCTGTGCAGCCAGAGGAAGCGGGGAGGGGATGACTGCAGTCTCTCCAACCGGGAGGACATGCACTGAAGGTGTCTGCTTTTATGTGAATCCCAAACCTGAAAGGAGTCCAAAGACTTGGGAAACCTGTATCCCTAATAGAGTGATATCCCAAGACTTTTGTCTTTATCTCCTTTGTTCTTGGCTCTGAAGCTGCTTCCCTCTGTGCTTTCTAACTCTATTT